GGGTCAACTACGTGGGAGTCCAGCGACATAGCCATTACGCTAACTGCTGGTCCCTGGGTCGTGTTTTTGATCTGGCCTGGAAGAGTCTGAATGACACAACTTTCTATGCAGTTGACTAGCACCTACATCGTATCTATTTCCACAAATACAATATATGTTTTAGGGAAAATTGGAAAAAACAGTGGTCTGGCGGAAAGCCTACACACTGTAGGTACCTTTTACCTAGATGTATTTCCACTTTGTTTTTTTATTTATTTGCCAGAGAGTGTGTGTGCTCTCCAGAGAGAAGGAGAGAAAGCATCCTCTCAAGTGGGACGTGATAGGGATCAGCAATTGGTGTGATGGCTATGTCGCTGGACTCCCATGTAGTCAACTGCGATTTGAGTCCCGGACCTGGCTTAAACTCACACTGGGTATGTGTGTGTGCATACCCAAGATCCTGAGAGGAGAATGGAGGAGAAGGGATTGCGGCATGGCCATCCCCCCTGGGGGATGATTTCTTGGTTTCTGTCTCTATGGCAAGTGCACATACCCTATAGCAAAAAAACTCTCCAGAAAAAAAAAGGGGGACATGATCATACCATAGTCCTTCTTCCTCAATTTCTCCATCCTGTTAGGATTTGGGGCGCACACACACGCCTGGCATCTTTCTCAAGCCATTGGAGCCAGGAATAAAACTACAGTCAGCCATGTGGGATTCAACTCCCAGTTCATAGTACTCAACTGCTGCACTACTGGATCAGCCCTGTATTTCTACTTGGGGGCTTGTTAGTATCGTATACCTGAGCAAGTCACTTTACTGCTTGGTACCCATCTGTAGGTTGGGCATAAAGAAGGAAACAGGATGTAAGGAAGGTTAAAAAGAACAATATAGGGGCCAGCAGGTGGTGTAGTTAGTGGCTAAGGCGCTGGACTCCTATGTGGCTGACCACAGTTCAAGTCCCAGACCTGGCAGCTTGGAACACATCTGACGTGTGTGCATGTATGCCCACAATTCCAAGGGGAGAATGGAGGAGAAGGAACACTGGTGTGGCCATCCCTCTGGGAGGTGATTTCTCACTTTCTCTCTCTCTGTCTCTCTGACTTGCCCATGAGTGCATGTACCTAATAGCAAACAAGCTCTCTTTTTTTTTAAAAAAAAAAAAAAAAAAGAACAATATATAGATGGGCCAGCAGATGGCACAGAGGTTTAAGTGGCTAAATCCTGCATGGTCTAATGCATGGTTCGAGTCCTAGATCCAGCAGCTTGAAAACATGCTGGGCACATGTGCATGCGTGCCCAAAGTCCTGAGAGGAGAATGGAAAAGGGATTGTGGCATGGCCTTCCCCCTCAGGAGTGATTTTTCCTTTTCTCTCTCTCTTTCTCTTTGGCAAGTACATGTGCTCTATAATTCTGTAGGGCTAGTGCCATGGTTAAGGCAGCTGGCTCCTCCATGACTGACCTTATGGTTCAAATCTGAGACCTAGTAGCTTGAGAAACACACAAGGGGGACCAGCAGATGACGTAATGGTTACGCTCCTGGACTCCCACATAGTCAACCATGGTTTGAGTCCTGGACCCAGTGGCTTCGAACTTAAGCCAGGCACATGTGCATGCGTGCCCAAAATCCTGAGAGAAAAATGGAGGAGAAGAGGTTGCAGCATGGCCATACCCCCTGGGGGGGTGATTTCTCTCTTTCTGTCTCTCTGTCTCTGTCTCTCCAGTGAGTGCATGTGCTCTATAACAAAAAACCTGTCCTAAACAAAAAAGAAAAAAGAAACACACAGTATACATACATGTATGCCCAAAATTCCAAAAGGAGGGAGCGATAGATGAAAAGGCATTAAGGTATGACTGTTCCCCATGGATGATGCATTCTCTTCTCCCTTTATGTCTCTCTCTCTCTCTGGTATGTACATATGCCTGTAGTAAACAAACAAACAAAAAATAGTATTAAAAAATATCATATATAATGCTAGTTATTTTCAGTATAAAAATGCATTGTATTTTCTATTGGAAAGATGGAATATACATGGAGCTGAAGATGGAATTTAATGATTCATTCTACTTTATTTATTCTTTATCTTTCTTTTTAAGTTTGGTATAAGGTATATGCACTTGCTGGGGAGAGAAAGAAAAAAGTGATAAAGCCATGGTGCATGGTCACACTGCAGTTCTTTCATCTTTCCCCACTTTGGGGATTTTAGGCGCGCACACACACACACACACACACACACACACACAGCCATTTTTCAAACCACCAGGTCTGAAACTTGAACCACATGGTCAACCATATGAGGTCCAGCAACCTTAACCACCAGGGCACAGGTTGGCGCTGCTTTTTGTTTGTTTTTAACTCATAGGTGAAACATATTTGATGTATTTATACCCATTGTAGTTATCATCTTCAGTAGTGCTCAAATTGTTCCATCATTGGGTAGCGAATTCCCTTCAGATTGACTCACAAATCCTTCTAAAGCAATATTAGTAGTCCTTGGTAACTTCCTTGTCAACTACCACTATAAAACATACCAGACTTATCATGTGTATTTGCTGTCACATACCTAGAATCAGTCATTTCTCTAATAATTTCTAGTTTCTTTTAATGGGAAATGGTATTGCATTACCACAGTCTGAGTGCTAAGAATGCACATGGCTACTGGTTTGGTCATTGTTTCTAGATCTCTTCAGTGCACAGAGCTAGGAAATGTGTGTATGTACGCATGCGTACTTATATATGTGTATACATATGTATATCTGATTTACTTTATTTCACATTATATATAAAACATACTCTGAAAATTTTGTCAGCACTGTCCCTATATAATTACTGAAAAGAATTTTTATATATGTATATAACATATAGGTATTTGGGAAAGTCATGACATGTTTTTCTATTACAAATATATCATGGGACCAGCAGATGACGAAATGGTTACATTGCTGGATTTTTCCGTAGTCAACCACGGTTCGAGTCTTGGACCTGGCAGCTTAAAACTCACACTGGGAATGTGTGCATGCATGCCCAAAATCCCAAGAGGAGAATGGAGGAGAAGGGACTGTGGCGTGGCCATCCCCCTTGGGGGGTGATTTCTCACTTTTTCTCTCTCTCTGTCTCTCTGACAAGCACACACACCCTGTAGCAAAAATATCTCAGAAAAAAAAAATGAATCATGACTTTCCCAACAACCCAATATATTGTGTGTAATATACATGTATGTGTGTGTTTATACTTACACACCCATATATCTGTATATGACAGAAAGAGATAGGTAGTTGATAGATAGGTAGCTATCTATCAGGGTAGCAAGTAGGAAAACCATTAGTGAGAATGTTGTTTACACTAAGTGTTCCCAGGTTCGTTGTGTCTTAGGCCTAGGGCCAGAAGGTCAGTACATACAGAGCCCACAGGTCTGAGTACTTGTGTATCTGCAACTGGAAGCGAAGCGTGAGAGAGCCTAGGTCTGGCCAGTGCATTTGAGTACAGCAAACAGAATGCCCGCTGTGAGCACGGCACTAGACTGTGTCCGGCACAAGTACTCTTGCCCAGTGCAAGGTGGATGGTGAAGATGACTATCCAATTTGAGCACAAATTATCAGAAACTTGAAAATAAGGAATGAGATATTATTTGAGAAATGTCGTAAGCAAGTCGTCTGATGTTTTTACCTTAATTGATGATACTTGAAAGAAAATCCATTAGCAAAAAGCAGTATGTCAAGGTTGAAAACAAGAATGAGTTCAGGGAGGAAGCTGGAGAGCAGCTGGCATGGGGGTAGGGAGCCATGGCTGCATGTGGAGGAGAAGAGTCAGGCAGGAAAGATGCAGACTTCCTCGGTACTCCCGTGCCCGTGAGGGAGGTGGTGCAAGTAAGGAGAGGCCTCTGCACCCTCCTGAACTTAGGAGTAGGGCAGCTAATTTGCCCTTGATCAGAGCTTCTTTAGTATGACCCCTTCAGCACTGGCCTGTCCTTTAGGTAGTACCATGCTTTAGGTTCCTCCTGTCAACAAGCAATGCTAAAGTAATGTCTTGAGGGTCATGTCATTACTGTTCTTTTATTAAAATAGCCTTATTGGGACCAGTAGTTAGCGTAATGGCTATGTCGCTGGACTCCCATGAAGTCAACACCGGACCCGGTGGCTTAAACTCACGCCGGGTGCGTGTGTGTGCGTGCCCAAGATCCGAGAGGAGAATGGAGGAGAAGGGATTGCAGTGTGGCCATCCTCCCTGGGGGGTGATTTCTTGCGTTCTGTCTTTCTGTCTCTCTGTCTTCCTGGTGAGCGCACATGCCCTATGGCAAAAATCTCTCCAAAAAAAAAAAAATAGCCTTATTGAAATATAATGCAAAAACCATAAAACCCATTGTAAGTATACAGTACAGTGATTTTCTTTTTTTTAGTAAATTTTACAGTTGTTGAACCCTTACTGCAACCAAATTTTAGAATATTCTGTCAAACTTGGGAACCAGCAGGTGGCGTGGTGGTTAAGACGCTGGACACTTCCACATGTCCGACCACAGTTCGAGTCCCAGACCTGGTGGTTTGCTTTCTCACTTTCCCTCTTTCTTTGTGTGTGTCTCTTTGGTCAAATTAAAAAAGAAAAATCTGAATGAATGAATGAATGAATAAATAAATTAAATAATTCTTTAATTAAAAAAAAGGAGAGAGAATATTCTTTCAAACCAAAACATTCTCTTGAACTCACTTCTAATCAGTCTCCATGCCCACTTCCAGGTGACGACAAATCTATTTTCTGGTCTCTATTCATTTGACTTTCTGGATATTTTATGTAAGCTGACTGTACTTCAGGTGGTCTTTCACATTCTGGCTTCTTTCACTTGGCATCATGTTTTTGAAGTTCATCCATATGGTAGCATGTATCAGTAGTTTGCACTCCCTTTTAAAAGAACATTATATAAATGGTTTGGTTTTTGAAATGATTTGCAGTTTCATGATTCTGGTTTTCTAAAAGTGTTTTGACTTGATATGATCAAACACATTATTTTAAAATTTTTTTTCTTAGGATTTGGTGGCTTTTGAACATCAGTGGACTAGCTTCTTTGCCAATTTTGACACAGAAATTCCTTTCCTGCTGGAACTCTCAGAATCTCAAGCTGGCGAGGTATGTAAAAGAAAGGTCAAAGAGAAAGAAGAAATTAGTTAACTTATTTATTATTATGTTTTTATTTCATTTTTTCCAAATATAACATTATCAATCTAATTTGTTTTACTATTTCATTAAATTGTGCTGTATGCCATGAAGAAGTTTTTTCTTCCATGCCAGTCTGTGTATAACAAGTTTTTAACCTATGCAAGCTTCTTTACAAAAAGGATATTCATTTTTCATTGCGGTGGTAACTATGTCAGCCAGGAATTCTGTTGGACTCTAGTCAGTAAGCCTCGGAATAGTTCTGTGCTTATCTGTAGCACGCCACTATCTATTGACCCACTGATGAATAATGATGGCAAGCTTTTTTTTTTTTTTAAAGAATTATTTTATTTAACTTTATTTATTTATTAAAAGAATTACTTTATTAAACTTTATTTATTTATTTTTTTATTTGACCAGAGAGTGTGAGAAAGCAAGCTGCCAGGTCCAGCACTTGAACCTTTGTCGGCCATGTGGGTGTCCAGTGCCCCTAACCACCATACCACCTGCCATCCTCTATTTATTTTAATTTGACCATAGAGGGACAGAGCAAGAGAGAGAGGGAAAGTGAGAAAGCAAGCTGCCAGGTTCAGGACTTGAACCATGGGCAGCCATGTGGGAGTTCAGTGTCCTTAACCACCACGCCACCTGCCAGCCCATTATTTTATTTTATTTTTTAAAGGTTCTTGCCAACGGACATATACATTTGCTGGAGAGAGAGACACAGAGAGAAAGTGAAACATCACCCCTCAGGGGTTGGCCACGCTGCAATCACTTCTCTGATCTCCTCTCAGGATTTTGGGTATGCACGCACATAGGCCCTGCGTGAGTTTCAAGCCACAATCTGGGACCCAAACCATTGGTCGACTGTGTCGCAGTCAGCATAGTCCATTTTGCCACCTGCTGGTCCCTAAAAACCTTCTCTACCGGCCCATGTAGGTACTCTTGTGTTCTTCATTCCTTTGTGTAGACCTAGATTTCCATTTGGTATTCTTCTCTAAGGATGTCCCTCAACATTTTTTGTGTAGGAATCGTCTGATGATGAATTCTTTCAGCCTTTGCTTGTCTGAAAAAAATCTTTACCTTCATTTCGAAAGCTATTTTTGCCATGGATAGATTGCACAGTGACAGTTTTTCCTGTAAAGTGCTCAGAAGATGTTGCTCCACTGTCCTCTCCCTTGCTTCATTTTGGATAAGAAGCTTTTCATCCTAATCTTTGTTCCTCTGTATATAGCAGATCTTTCTTTTCCTCTGGCAGCTTTTAAGAATTTTCTTTTTTACTGGTTTTGAGTAAGTTAATTATGATAAGTCTCGCCATAGTTTTCTTCCTATTTCTTGGCCTATAGTTTGGATCCCTGGATCAGCTTGAAAATATACCAGGTGTGTGCCTTTGTGGCCAAGGTCCTGATGAACTTATAGACGGCGGAAAGGTGATTATGTGTGACAGGATCCTGAAAGTGCTTCTCTTTTTGTCTCTCATGCACTCATTGTCTATCATGGTTAAAATAAATTTTAAAAACTTTTCAAAAAACTAGAAGCTTAAGAGCTAGCAGGTGGCATGATGGTTAAGGCACTGGACTCTCCTACATGGTTAACCATGGTTTGAGTCTCGGGCTTGGTGGCTTGGAAATCCTATTGGGTGCATGTATGTGTGTGCCCAAAATTCCCAAAGGAAAGTAGAAGAGAAGGAACTACTATGAGGCCATCGCCCCTGGGGGTGATTTTTTATTTTCCCTTTCTCTCTCTCTGTCTGGAGAGTGTAAATGCCCTACAGCAAATACCTAAAGAAATAAAAATAGAGGCTTAGGGGACAGCAGGTGGCTTGGAGGTTAAAATGCTGGAGCCCACATGGCTGCCTATGGTTCAAGTCCTGGACCTCGTGGCTTGAAAGTCATGTCTGGCACATGTACATGTGTTCCCCAAATCCTGAGGAGATTGGAGGAGAAGGGATTGTGGTATGGCCATCCCCCCCCGAGGGTAATTTCTCACTTTCCAACCCCTACCCCCCACATCTCTCTCTGGCAAACACACATACCCAATGGCAAAAATCTAAAAAAGTTAAAAATAGAGGCTTATTTGACTCACAGTTCTGGTGGCTGAAGAGTCCAAAAGCATGAAGCCAGCATCTGGCCAGCCTCTGGTCCTGCGTCACAGTGTGACTGACACAAGTAGGAAAGCAAGCAGACTTAGGCAGAGAGAGATGGTAGGCAGCCCTCTCCCCTTTACAGCAAACTGCTCTCGTGGGAACCAGCCCATTCCAATGAGAATGAGGACTCCCTCTCTCCCTCGAGACAGCAGTACTGTATTCATTAGGGCAGTGCCCCCATGAGCCCAACAGATACCTCCTACAGGTCCTGCCACCCCTCAACACCATTGCATTGGGGACCAAGCTTCCCACACGTGCACCTTTGGGAGACAGATCATATCCAAGCCACAGCATACATATCTGAGGAGTCTTGTGCTAGCTTTATAAAATCATGGTTTTAATATATGCATTGTTTTCTTCTTTTTAGCCATTCAGAAGTTACTTCAGTCACGGGATGATCTCCAGCCATATAACTGAAAACAGGTACAGTTCTTGGGGAAGAAGGGGGAGTTTTGCTAGGAAGGGAGTAGACCCAGGGGAGCATCCAAGTCCAGAAGCTTGAATCAGATAATGTGGGATTCATCTGTTTCACTGCTTTTATAGTTTAAATTTTGTTTTAGTTTCCTGTAATTTTAGAGTAAATGGCTCTTGAAATCTCGTAACTCACCAGAATCCAAACACAGGAACGTGTTATTTCATTCTTAGCTCAGGAAAGCAAGGACGTGGAGTGTCTAAGAACAGGGCAGGGGAATCGTCTGATGATGAATTCTTTCAGCCTTGTCTTGTCTGAAAAAAATCTTTACCTTCATTTCGAAAGCTATTTTTGCCATGGATAGATTGCACAGTGACAGTTTTTCCTGTGCTCAGAAGAGAAGATGTTGCTCCACTGTCCTCTCCCTTGCTTCATTTTGGATAAGAAGCTTTTCATCCTAATCTTTGTTCCTCTGTATATAGCAGATCTTTCTTTTCCTCTGGCAGCTTTTAAGAATTTTCTTTTTTACTGGTTTTGAGTAAGTTAATTATGATAAGTCTCGCCATAGTTTTCTTCCTATTTCTTGGCCTATAGTTTGGATCCCTGGATCAGCTTGAAAATATACCAGGTGTGTGCCTTTGTGGCCAAGGTCCTGATGAACTTATAGACGGCGGAAAGGTGATTATGTGTGACAGGATCCTGAAAGTGCTTCTCTTTTTGTCTCTCATGCACTCATTGTCTATCATGGTTAAAATAAATTTTAAAAACTTTTCAAAAAACTAGAAGCTTAAGAGCTAGCAGGTGGCATGATGGTTAAGGCACTGGACTCTCCTACATGGTTAACCATGGTTTGAGTCTCGGGCTTGGTGGCTTGGAAATCCTATTGGGTGCATGTATGTGTGTGCCCAAAATTCCCAAAGGAAAGTAGAAGAGAAGGAACTACTATGAGGCCATCGCCCCTGGGGGTGATTTTTTATTTTCCCTTTCTCTCTCTCTGTCTGGAGAGTGTAAATGCCCTACAGCAAATACCTAAAGAAATAAAAATAGAGGCTTAGGGGACAGCAGGTGGCTTGGAGGTTAAAATGCTGGAGCCCACATGGCTGCCTATGGTTCAAGTCCTGGACCTCGTGGCTTGAAAGTCATGTCTGGCACATGTACATGTGTTCCCCAAATCCTGAGGAGATTGGAGGAGAAGGGATTGTGGTATGGCCATCCCCCCCCGAGGGTAATTTCTCACTTTCCAACCCCTACCCCCCACATCTCTCTCTGGCAAACACACATACCCAATGGCAAAAATCTAAAAAAGTTAAAAATAGAGGCTTATTTGACTCACAGTTCTGGTGGCTGAAGAGTCCAAAAGCATGAAGCCAGCATCTGGCCAGCCTCTGGTCCTGCGTCACAGTGTGACTGACACAAGTAGGAAAGCAAGCAGACTTAGGCAGAGAGAGATGGTAGGCAGCCCTCTCCCCTTTACAGCAAACTGCTCTCGTGGGAACCAGCCCATTCCAATGAGAATGAGGACTCCCTCTCTCCCTCGAGACAGCAGTACTGTATTCATTAGGGCAGTGCCCCCATGAGCCCAACAGATACCTCCTACAGGTCCTGCCACCCCTCAACACCATTGCATTGGGGACCAAGCTTCCCACACGTGCACCTTTGGGAGACAGATCATATCCAAGCCACAGCATACATATCTGAGGAGTCTTGTGCTAGCTTTATAAAATCATGGTTTTAATATATGCATTGTTTTCTTCTTTTTAGCCATTCAGAAGTTACTTCAGTCACGGGATGATCTCCAGCCATATAACTGAAAACAGGTACAGTTCTTGGGGAAGAAGGGGGAGTTTTGCTAGGAAGGGAGTAGACCCAGGGGAGCATCCAAGTCCAGAAGCTTGAATCAGATAATGTGGGATTCATCTGTTTCACTGCTTTTATAGTTTAAATTTTGTTTTAGTTTCCTGTAATTTTAGAGTAAATGGCTCTTGAAATCTCGTAACTCACCAGAATCCAAACACAGGAACGTGTTATTTCATTCTTAGCTCAGGAAAGCAAGGACGTGGAGTGTCTAAGAACAGGGCAGGGGAGCAGCGGTGGCTTGTGGAAGGTAAAGGTTCGGCCACACGAAGAAGATGTGAGCAGTGAGGGGTCTGAAATGTTTCTTTCCACATCTCTCTCGTGATCAGCAGGAGATAATAGAGGAGATGGAGTCTTTCCTCTTTTCTTCCCCAGTTTGAATCCAATCTAATAAATAGTGAAACAAACTACCCCGGGTGTCACTTAGCATGGATTAAGCCTCAGAAGAAAAAGCAGTCATGTTTTCTTTTCTTTTTTTTTTTTTAAGAATTAATTTTATTTATTATTATTACTATTTCTTTAAAATTTTAAAGAATTATTTTATTTAACTTTATTTATTTATTTTTAATTTGACCAGAGAGGGACAGAGTGAGAGAGAGAGGGAAAATGAGAGAGTCAACTGTCCTGTCTGGGACTCAAACTGCAGTCAGCTATGTGGGCGTCCAGCACCCTTAACCACCGCGCCACCTGCTGGCCCCGAGTCACAGTTTCTTTTAACAGCCCCTTTTTGCATGAAGCTCAAGGAAACTTTTATGTCTGTTTGTTTTTTCAGTTTGCTATAGGATGCATGTACTCGCCAAGGAGAAGAGAGAGAGCAAGGGGGACAGAGAGAGAGAGGGAAAGTGAGAACTCACTCCTGGTGGGATGGCCACACCACAATCCCTTTTCCTCTCGGGATTTTGGGCATGCATGCATGTACACCCACTGTGAGTTTCAAGTCGCTGGGTCCAAGGACCCAAACCATTTAGTCACCCATGTGAAATTGAGCCACCTTAACCTCCATGCTACCTGCTGGCTCATACGAACTATTTCTTTCTTTCTTTTTTATTATTATTTTTTCTTTTTTTTTTCATTTTATTTTCTTTATACGAACTATTTCTAACAACAGTGCTCTCTGCCTTTATGAGTGTATAATGTGGTTGAGAAATAATGTTAAAAAACATCTCACAAAGGAACTTTCCTTACTCTGACTGGCTTATGAAGGAGAAAAGAACATGGTACCGTGAATACCAGAATGTCTCTAGACTAGCCTGGCCTCCTCTGAGGAGATGGGAATGATGAGTAGAGCACGTTGGGAGAAGGGAGAAGAGCAGAGGCCCCTAGACAGATCATAAGAGAGATTATGGAACAGAAAAGAAGATGAGCATCTGGGAGAATGGGAGTCTGGGCAGAGTGGCTAAAATTGTTGTTGGCCCTTGTCAGCCATGTGAAAGGTTCTGGCCCTTCTCTTGAAGGTAACATAAAAGCAGTAAATGCTTCGGACATTTAAAGTGATGGTTGTCACTGCGTGTGGAGAGTAGGTTGTAGGAGGGGGAGTGGAAGCAGGGAAACAGTGAGGAAGTGTTGCGATTATCCAGGGACAAAATGATGGCAGCATGTGGATGGAGGAAATGGGTAAACAGGGGAGATTTAGGAGGGCGATTGGATTTAGAGGATGATGAAGCAAATCAAGGAGACCTCTCAGATCCAACATGGTCCCTGGATGGATGGAGATGTCATTTAAAAACTGGAGGGGAGGCCAGCAGATGGCATGGAGGTTAAGGTGGCTGGATCTCACATGGCCAACTGTGCAATTCCAGTCCCAGACCCGACAGCTTGAAAAACATGCCAGGTACATGTGCGTGCCTGCCCAGAACCCCAAAAGAGAATGGAGGAGAAGGGATTGAGGTGTGGCCATTTCCCAAGGAGTAGGGGTGGTTTTCTCACTCTCCCTCTCTCTCTCCCTTCTGTCTCTAGCAAGCTCACATGCCCTATACCAAACTAAAACAAAAACAAAATAGTTGGAAGGAGAAGACTTGGGAATAGCTATCAGAGAGGACAGCAGAGGGCAGTGACCTAAGTAAAAGCCTAGCCAGGTAGAAGAGGCAAGTAACTGACTGAGGAGACTGAGAGCTCAGCCCTTGCAGGAAGAGCATGTCAGGTAGGGACCAGCAGGTGGTATGATAGTTATGTCACTGAACTCTCACATAGTCGACTGCAGTTCAAGTCCCAGACCCAGCAGCTTAGAATTCACACTGGGCATGTGGGTATATGTGCCCAGAATCCCGAGAGGAGAACAGAAGAGAAGGGATTATGGCATGACCATACTCCCCAGGGTGATTTCTTGCTTTCTGTCTCTCTGTTACTCCAGCAAGTATGCACACCCTATAGGGAAAATCTCTCAACAAAACAAAACCAAAAAACATGCCAGGTACTTCTAACAGATCAAGGGAGGAATGTCTGAAGAAAGCCTGAGGGCTGTCCATTGTTATATACTACGTGAGAGTCACTTGGTGATTTACAAGAGGTCTCTGAGTGAAATGACTTGATGTGGGTTGATTGGAATGAGCAGAAAGCGAGAGGGATTAGTATCTAGCCAAGAGAAGAGGGAGGAAAGGGAGGTCAGGGAAAGTAGGTGTGTTAGTGAGAACATCTGTGACTCTTCTCGCCTTCGTTTCTGAGTGTTATAAGGAATTGAAAACTTCTCTTTTGTCTGACTAGTCATGAGTATCACAGCTTCTGTCATCCTTTTCTTTTCATATTAGTTAGTTAAAATCTGACTGGAGAGAGAGAGAGAGAGAGAGAAAGTGAGAAAGAGAGAAAGAAAGCTGTCAGGTCCAGAACATGAACTGTGGTCGGCCATGTGGGAGTCCAGCGCCTTTAACCACCACACCACCTGCTGCCCCGACTTCTGTCATCCTTTAAAACTTGTGTTTCTACTAAAACTCTTTTATAAACTGAGGTTTTGGTCCATAAATATGGTACTTATGAAACTTACTCCTCAAAAAGTAGGAAAAGCTGAAAGTAGAAACCCAGCTTGGCTTTATTATGTCCCTGGATGAGTGATCCCTGTGGATCAGTAGGTAGAGTCAGACAGCTGGCGTGCCTTCCCGACCAGCCAGGACTGCGAAGTAGTCACACCGACCAGTGCAGTGCAGGATTAGCACGACTCGGGTCGTGAGAAGTTGCCTTGGCAGGAATCTCTTTGCTAATCATGTTTTTGCCTTGTCACTGTAGTCCTAATAGGCAGCCGTTTGTTCTCTTTGGTAATCACTCCACACGAGAAAACCTGAATGCTGGCAACTTTAACTTTCCTTCTGAGGGGCACCTGGTACGCAGCACTGGTCCCGGCGGGAGCTTTGCCAAGCACATGGTGAGTGGCTGGACGGCTGGCACTTGATGAGTTTCATTATCAAGGAGGGAAAAGGAGCCGGAAAAAAGGCACTTTTTCCAGTTTAACCAGTGTGTCAGTTTAACCCTGAACTTAAAGCTATTTTGGTGTGAAAAGAAATGATTGAAAACTATATGTATTTTTATATAAGTATTAAGTGTGATTTGAAAATATCGGGTCGTTTTGCATATTATTCTATGCAAAAATGTGCCATTACTTTCTTGACAACCTAATGTATTTAATTTTGAAATATTTGAAGGAAAAGCTTAAAACATACTTTCATGGGACCAGCAGATGCCATAATGGTATGTTGCAGGACTTCCACGTGGCCAACTGAGGTTCGAGTCCTGGACCTGGAAGCTTGAAACTCTTGCCAAGTGTGTGTGCATGCCTGCCAAAAATCCTGAGAGGAGAATGGAGAAGGGATTGTGGTGTGGCCATCCTCTCGGGGAGAATGATTTCTCACTTTCTGTCTCTGTCTCTCTCTGGCAAGTACATGCACCCTACAAAAACTAAGGAAAAATAACAAATTTGAGGATTTTTGTTCTCTTACTGAGTGTACAAGGGAGAAGAATTTTGCATTTTGATATGTTAGTGTCTGCTGTATTCTTTTAAAGGAATCATTAGACCTAAATAGGGGACTTTAGTGATTATTAAGTCTGTGCTATCTTTTTTTATTTTTTTAAAGAGAGAGAGTTTTGCTATAGGGCATGTGCGCTCACCAAAGAGACAGAAAGTGAGAAATCACACACACACACCCAGGGGGGATAGCCACACCACAGTTCCTTCTCCTCCATTCTCCTCTCAGGATTTTGAGCATGCACACACACAAGCCCAGCATGAGTTTTAAGCCACTGGGTCCAGGACTTAAACTGCCATCAGTTCTGTGGGAGTCTAGTGACATAACCATTATGCCATCTGTTGGTCCCAGTCTGTGCTGTCCTTAAAGGAATTTTAAGTATTTTCAAAATGTTCCTGGCAATCATAAAAGGTGGGGCTATAGGCACTGTGCGATTTGAAGAATATCTGACCCAAGAGGCTGTAGTTTAGTCTCTAGGCTAAGACCCCAGATCTGCCTCCAAGCCAGCCCAGGATATAGGGCTACCAGGATAGGCGTGCTGTCAGGATCTTGCTGCCCAAGCACTAAGAGGAAGGCTTGGGCCCTGTTTTAACCTGCAGAGCACTCTTAGCTTACATAGAAGATGCCAGAAAGCATAGACTTCTGTATGTAATCTGTGAACTAAACATACTTTTATTTATTTATTTATTTTTTAGGTTTTTGCCAGAGGGCGTGTACGCTGACGAGAGCAAGAGTGAGAGAGAGAGAGAGAGGGAGAGAGAGAGGGAGGGAGGGAGGGAGGGAGGGAAAGTGAGAAATTACCCCTCAAGGGGATGGCCATGCCTCAATCCCTTATTTTCCATTCTCCTCTTAGAATTTTGGCTATGCATGCATGATTTTCAAGCCTCAGGTCTGGGACTCAGACCATGTATAGCCATATGGGAGTTCAGCACCTTAACCACAATGCCATCTGCTGGCTCCAACTATACCTATTATATCAGAACTAGAGGAGATGGTCTGATTTCTGCTTATGGAAAGATGGAGCAGACATACTTTTCCCTATTTCTTCCACTAAGTATAACTGAAAACCTTGGATATTACATACAAAACAAACATTAGACACTCTGGAAGGTGGAGAGAAGGACCTTAGGACCAGAGGGATAAGGTGGTGGTGAGTTTTCTAGTTTTTCTTATCGCTCATATATCTCAGACTGGATACTGGAGAAGCTGGCTACATGGAACTGTCACTAGTCACAGACAAAGAAGTCTGAGAAAAGCCTGTTCTCTCTTGCCAGAGGGTCAGGAAAGCCAGAGCATAGCATGACAGAAAACTTAGAGATAACAGCTGCTCTACTCTACCCTAAGGCGATAGGAAAGCTTTATGTCCACCCCACCCCACCCCTGCCCACAAAGGCTGAGTGAAGACCCTAGATGCCCTCCCTTGCCAGGCTGTAATGAAGGAATCCCCACAGATCATATTCAGGATAGTACCAGAGAAGATGAGTGGCATAGCCAGGGCTTTTATTACTGCAGGGCATTCAGACTTCCTCCCTAGCCCCCAGGGTATCTAGCGAAGGCCACTAGGGAGCCTGGACTTAGACCCCAGCTGTAAAGATGTGGCTCTTCCTAGGGAAGTGTCACGGGAGGCCAGTAGAGAATCAAGACTTTGATCACCATCACACCGTCTGGCAATTAAAAAGAAAGAAAGATTATATCCACACAAAAAAACTTCATTATGATGTTTATAGCCGCTTTATTTGTAATTGCCAAAACTTGGAAGTAATCAAGATGTCCAGTAGGTGAATGGATAAGTAAATTTTGGGAATCCAGACAATGAAATGTTATTCAGTAATAACAAAGAAAAGAACTATCAAGCTGCAGAAAACACAGAGGAATCCCAGGAGTCTGATGTCTATATTGACTGAACAAAAATGCATTCATTCAGAGAGGGGACACCGAGCAGAGTCAGGTCAGATGCATGTGGAATTCCACTTCAGACATTGAGTGTGAAATGACTGGGAGCACCCAAATAGAGCTGAGGAATCAATATGTAGACATGGAAGCCTGGAATCTAGAGGATCGTTCTTGGCTATAAGTAAATATTTGAGAGTTCACTTGGTATGCAAGGGTAGGTAAAACCAAGGCTTGTGTGGATGAGGTCATCTGGATACATATTTTTAGACCCAACAGCCAATGAATCTATCTTGAGGTTTTTCCTGATGTTCCTGACGTTTCTAACCTCCCAACAAAGCTTGCAATTAGTTTAGCCCAACTTAAAAAAAAATTTTTTTTAGAGGTTTTTGCTATAGGGCGCGTGCGCTCGCCAGACAGAGACAGAGAGACAGAAAGCAAGAAATCACCCCCCGGGGGGGATGGCCACGCCGCAATCCCTTCTCCTCCATTCTCCTCTCGGGATCTTGGGCACGCACGCACACGCGCCTGGCGTGAGTTTAAGCCACCAGGTCCGGGACTCGAACCGCAGTCAACTACATGGGAGTCTATTGACATAGCCATTATGCTAACTGCTGGTCCCCACTTAAAATGTTCTTAAGAGTCATGCTATATGGCACCAAGGTTTAGACCCTTAACTTACAGTAACTGCCTAAGAAACCCAAACTTCTTTAATAAAAAAAATAATGACTTGGTGTAGATACAGCTAGATTGCACAAAACCTGTGTTAGTGTGTTGATCTTTTGACTAAGATAGACTTCAGATTCGTGTACTCAGATATACAGAACTGAGAAAGAATTTTGCCCCTTCAAACCTAGGGTTTAAAACATGTGTCTTTCATTATTTCCAATACAAAGTAGCTGTAATACAGTTGCTTTGTAGAAAATCTAGTCATGAAAGAAATATATTTTTGCTTGAGATAAGTATTTGTTGAGAAGGGAAGCAAGATATAGCCCTCTTTAAGTTAAATAATCAAAGTTTTTGTCATTGAAGATTTTTGTGTCATTTTACTCTGTTCTATTTGCCCTAACTGGGGACCATTTAATTTAATTTTTTATAGGGCATGTGCGCTTGCTAGAGAGAGAGAAAGTGAGAAAGCACCCCTAGGGCAGATGGCCACACCATAATTCCTTCTCCTTTTGGGATTTTGGATGTGCACACACACATGCCCAGCATACCTTACAGGCCACTGTGTCCAAGACTCAAACTATGCAATCAGTTATGTGGGATCCAGCTGCCTTAACCACTACACCACCAGCTGCCTCGCATCTTAAGTATTTTCTAATTTTATTTTTTAAAAGTTTTTGCCATAGGGCATATGTACTCACTGGAGAGAGAGACAGTGAAAAGGAAAGTGAGAAATCACTCCCAGGTAGGATGGCCACGCCACAATCTGTTTTCCTCTTGGAATTTTGGGCATGCGTGCACACACGCTGAGTGTGATTTTTAAGCTGCTAAGGTCTGGGACTTAAACTGTCTCATTCTGTCTCTCTCTGGTCAAATTAAAATAAATAAATAAATGGATAAATAAAGTTAAATAAAATAATAATTATAAAAAATCTCTGGAAAGAAGCATGACTTGGGTTAGATGATCAGGAATTAAAGAGGCAGAACTGAGCCTATTGGCCATGTAGGAGTCCTGAATTGTGGTTGCTCATGTCACACCTATACCTATGATTTGGCTGAGGTCCTCACTCTGAAAGTTCTGGACTAAATATTATAATAATAAGCAGTCAAACCACATTGCCTCTTTTTTTGAGTTGTGAATTCATTAACATCCTGGCTGACTGTCTACGCAAAGGCAACTTTACAATATAGTGTAAACAACATGTGTATGAGTGCTTGCATGCACATATACACTCAAACACACACACACACGCACACACACACACTAGATATCTTTGGGGAAAATTAACAATGAAAAGTGATCTTTTCCCTTATGTCTTTAAAAAAAACCTCAGTTTTGGTAAAATAAATTTTATTCCTATTAACTGTATACTTTTTGTTTTTCTAATAGTACACACTCAAGTCCCTGATCCTTTTTTATTTTTATTTTATCCAACATCTAGGTAGCACAGTGTGTCTCACCAAAGGGACCGCTTGCTTGTTCAAGAACATACTTTTTTGGAGCTACTCATGTTCCTTACTTGGGTAAGTCCCCATAAGCCATCATCTCACCACCTTACCCGATGAATGGTTCATCCCATGAACTAGAGGTTGGCACATGATTTACTCCTTTGCCCAGAAGTTCATGATACTCAGCTTATGGACCTCCACCCCACTCTTTGCATCTGGAGAGCTGCTGTTCTAACGTGCCTCTCACAGCATGTCTTTCAGGAAGAAAGCTATTAGTTCATTTCGTATTAAGTCTTACAGTGTCTAACACAATGGAAGAGTTTGTGTTCAGTGTCACAGGGAAGGTAAAGATGAATAAGACCTACTTCAAAGCCCAGCCGCAGTAGCACACTGCTAAGATGCTGTGCTCCACCATCTGGGACCATATGGGAGCCTGGGTTTGATTCTCAGTCCAACCTAAAGGCCAGCGGTGGTAATATGCACCTGTGATCCCAGTGACTCTGGGAGGCTGAGGTGGGAGGATGGTGACACAGTGAGGCTGTCTAAAAAATAATAAACTTTTTAAAAAGACCTAGTTTGAGATAGCAAGAGTTGTGAACTGCAGTGGGAGTCTGGGTAACTTGACCAGGGGCCCACTAAACTTTTCATGTCAGAGGAGTGAGAAAGGGCCTTGATAGAAGGGTACCCAGGGGTACCCAGGACCTAGAAACACACTGTGGAGCTGTCTAAAAGACTTAGACCAACGGGGGCCACCTTGGTGAACCAGATGCTGGATACATCCAAAGAGATAAAGAAAAGAAACTCCAGAATGAATGCAGATCTCAGCTCTGCTACACAGAAGCCAGATTTATTATTTTTTTTCCTGGCTGTTGTTAAATAAACTCTGGAAAATTTAGTTAAAAAGACTCTGGAAAATTTATTGTTTAAAAAAACTCTAGAGGGCCAGCAGGTGGCATGGTGGTTAAGGATGCTGGACTCCCATATGACTGACCGTGGTTCAAATCCCAGACTTGGCAACTTGCTTTCTCACTTTCTCTCTCTCTCTCTTTCTCATTCTGTCCCTCTCTGGTCAAATTAAAATAAATAAATAAATGAATAAACAAAGTTAAATAAAATAATAATAATAAAACCTCTAGAAAGAAGCATGACTTGGGTTAGATGATCAGGAAGTAAAGAGGCAGAACTGAGCCTATTTACTGATACCTTAAAGTTTATTATTATTATTATTTGTTTTTTTTAGAGAGATTTTTGCTATAGAGTATGTGCTCTCGCCAGAGAGACAGAGAGACAGAAAGCAAGAAATCACCCCCCCCAGGGGATGGCCACGCCATAATCCCTTCTCCTCCATTATCGTCTTGGGAATTTGGGCACACATGCATGCACGCCCAGTATGAGTTTCAAGCCGCTGGGTCCAGGACTCAAAATGCGGTTGACTTCAGGGGAGTCCAGTACCTTAGCCACTATGCTACATGCTGGCTCTGATACTTTGAAGCTTAAAAAATTAAAAATAATGGATGGGAACCAGCAGTTAGCGTAATGGCTATGTCGCTGGACTCCCACGTAGTTGACCGCGGTTCGTGTCCCGGACCCGGTGGCTTAAAACTCACGCCGGGCACGTGTGCGTGCGTGCCCAAGATCCCGAGAGGAGAATGGAGGAGAAGGGATTGCGGCGTGACCATCCCCCCTGGGGGGTGATTTCTCGCTTTCTGTCTCTATGTCTCTGTCTGTCTGGCGAGCGCACGCGCCCTACAGTGAAAATCTCTCAAAAAAAAAATAAAAATAAAAATAATGGGAGGCCAGCAGGTGTCATGGTGGTTAAGGGCACTGGACTCCCACATGGCCGACCATGATTTGAGTCCTGGACCTGGTGGTTTGCTTTCTCTCTCTCTCTGCCCCTATCTGGTCAAATTCAAATAAATTAAATAGATAGGTAAATAAAGTTAAATAAAAATTTTTTAATTTATAAAAATTGGGGCCGGCAGGTGTCATGGTAATTAAGGACACTGGACTCCCACATGGTCGACCACAGTTCAAGTCTTGGACCTGGTGGCTTGCTTTCTCACTTTTTCTCTCTCTCTCTCTCTGGCCAAATTTGAAAATAATAACAATATAAATAAAGTTAAATAAAATAATTTTTAAAAAATTTATAAAAATTGGAAATAAACGTTCCAGAGCCTGAAATTCTATACATCTTTGCTGGTATTAGTGGTGATGCCAAGTGGTCTGTAAAAGGAGGAAATGTCAGGGGTGGATACAGAGAAAAGTCTTGCATTTGTTTGTTTGTTTTTAGTTTAGTTTAGTTTTGTTCTAGGGTGCGTATACTCACCAGAGAAACAGAGAGGGAGGGAAATTGAGAAATCACCCCCCTGGGAGGATGGCCACGCCACAGTGCCTCCTCTCTGAGGGTTTTTGGCATGCATGCACATGTGCTCAGTGTGATTTTCAAGCCGCCAGGTCTAGTACTTGAAGCAGGCAGCTGGCCATGTGAGATCTGGTGTCTTAACCACCACGCCACCTGCTGACCCCAGTTTCCATCCACTCTTCATCTATGTATATATTGTATTTAACTTAAAAGTGCCAGTGCCTTTGAATTCAGCTAGCACTCCCTGCTTCCATGTGAAGTGTGGCATGTCCTGTGTTCTAGTCACATTCTCAGTACCTGGTACTCTTCCCCAGGTGATGCCAGCAAGCTGCCGAAGAAAACTGAACAGATGTAAGTTGTCATATTTAATTTTTTCTTTCTCAGAGTTGAGTTACTTAGTTGTGGCTGCCCTGCCCAACTCCTGGTGAGCTCAGCAGTGATTAGGACGTCTGGTTTATGAAGTGAACACAGCCACGTTCTTCCAGGAGGGCCTTACCTCTGTCTCTTAACTTGGAATCTAAGTCAGAGACGTCCCATTTACATCCATGCATTAATATGATGTAGCTCCTCTTAATATGTTTCCTACATAGTGAAATTTTTACTGGGGGCTTTTCTAAAACTAAAACATCTTGAAATCCTTTTTTTTGGGGGGGGAGGGGGGGCGGGACTGTCTATGTGAAACCCTGTCTGACCTGAGGAATGTTTTCTCTGGATTTGACACTCAGGCTCATGGAGCTATTAGGATCTGAACCTGAGCTGTGCAGCCTTAGAAAGGTCCTACTTGGTACTGACTTCTCCCCCTTCACGTACAGCAGGGGACCAAAGCCAGGAAATACTCATCAATGCTGAAGCTCCTGAATTCCAAAAAGCTTCCTCTTTCAGAAATAATAGACACAGTAGAGTTCTCTCACTTCCTTAGTAAATACCCCAGCATAAACTGGTGGGATCTGGACCATTGCTTCCCAGCAGCCAGCAGTGATAGGCCACAGAGGTTTATCTCAGGATCTCTTCAAAATAACAGGTTTCACAGGCCCAGTCCCTTAACTACTGAAGCAGAATGTTTAAGGCCCATGACAGTATCCTGAGGAAAATACTGTGCACGTAATATAATCACTGCCAAGAATGTGGAAATAGAGAAAAGAAAACGAGATGAGCCATAGTTGTGCATCTCTGGTACTACCCATTAATATCTTATTGTGTGTCTTTCTGGGCTTTTAAAATGACGTTTGTGTTTAGGTTCTATGTAGCTGTAATAATGTGTTTATGGGGTTTTTGTGGTTTTACATCACTTGAGCAGTTAATCACCAGTCTCCTCCTTTGTTGGCGGGTATAGTTTGCTTTCTTGCTTGTGCTTCTGTGCCGGCTGTGCTTGGCCACTGCCCCGGCTCTTTGTTTTTGACCCTTAGATGTTTTGCCCATGCCAAATCCTTTGGTGTTGTGTGTCAGGACTGGTATTAAGGATACCGGGCCCGCTTCAAGAGATTTGCCAGTTCACAGAGTTGGTGGAACTTAGGCCTGTGGAGTCCTAATGAAGATAACAGCAGGACCATGTAGGCCATTTGATGGGTTGGCAGCTGGGCAGCTGTGAATCAAGCTCTTGTCTGAGAGTCTGTATAGAACAGTGCCAACAGAAGCCTGACCGGTGTTGATACTGAGCGATGTTGAATCAAGCTGGGGAGGGATTTACAGTCTTTGGGCTTGGCCTCCATAACACTTCACCCTTCTGTCAAGGCATGGAGGATTCTCTTTGACTTTTGTAATGCTTTACCCTAATGTCAAGGCGTGGAGGATTCTGGAAGTGTCAAGCTCATTGATAGTGACCCTGCCAATCTCCTTCCTACTAAAGCATACCTACCTCTGCCTGGCCTGGCCAACAATCTTCAGGACATGGGATTCTTGGAACTGTTATTTTGTTATGTGAGCTTTCTCTGTCCCTGTTACTTCTTCAGCCAAACTCAGATCTCTGACCTGCAATGTGGAGATGGGGTGCAGGGGCCAAGGAGGACACAGGGGGGATGACAGTACAATATGGTGCAATGGAAAAGCACCTGGCTCAGAGCAGACCTGAGTTTGGGTCTTCCATGAATTTTCTGTAGCCTTAGACAATTTATTCCACTTTCAGAGGCCCTACTTGCATCTTTCTGTAAGATAAGAGGATTGGATCTGATTATTTCTGCGTTCCTTCCTGTTTTAAAACTCTTATTCCCTGCCTTTATCCCTTAGAAGATTCTCACAGGCGGAAAATCAGACATATTTTTTGGTGGGGCCGTTCAATTCCTTGCCAAGCACCTCCCCTTGCTCTTCTGGGCCTCATGGATGAACCCCTTCTCTCTGTAATGTCCTAAAGAAGAAGAGCCTGGGCTTCATTCCCCTAAAACAGTGGTTCTCACCCAGGGGCAATGCTGCCACTACCCTCACTTCCCCCAACCCCAAGCACATTTGGCAGTGCCTGGGGACATTTTTGGTTTGCAGTCGGATGGGGCTTTGCCGTAGGCATCTAATGGGTGGGGCCAGGGATGTTGCTACCTGTCCTATACTGCGTGGGGCAGCCCCACACAAAGGGTGCTAGGGCTGAGAAACCCTTCCCCGAAGGGACTTGGGCTTGGATTTTCTGGGAACTTTAATGGCAAAGAAAAAAATCTTACAGTGACTGTAGGAAGTGAGAGAAAGAGCAAGATTTTAGGAAAGATGAAGGATCCCCTCAGAAGCATTCTCTGTTCTCCTGATCAGGCAGCTACTTAGAGGGCACTCTGCAGCTGCTTAATTTGGATTTAGGTGTAACAGCCTTCTGCCGGTCTGGGAGGAGATGACATGAAGGTGACATGGTTGGTTCCTGGGAAAGCAGCAAGTCTGCATTGTAACACTGAAGGGGTTCTGGCCTGTGGGCAGCCCCTCGCATAGTTTGGTTGTAAAAAGGGAGAGTTGGTCTCTTGAGCAGAGTTCAGAGGAGCCGACTCTTCTTCAAGTGAGATAACAAGAGCAAAGTGCAAAGCCAAGCACATGACCTTTAAAAAGTTTAGAAATAGAGTTCCATTTCTGCACTTTTCTCATCTGTTTAAAAATCAGTTCCTAAGGGACTGTCATTTATGTGCATGCAGCTTTTGACAAAACTGATGCAGTAGCTGACCATTGTTTTTTGTTTTTGAAGTAGGCTTTTGTCCCAGGTATATGCAGCAGTTATTGAGGCTGTTTTGGCTGGCATTGCATGTTACGCTAAAACTTCCAGTCTAACAAAGGTAATTTAAATACTACGTTTCTCTCTATAGTCCTTATTCTAATGTAAAACAACCTACGTCTGTTTAGTCTCTGGGTACCTTGTATTAGGTTGTTGGGAAAGTCATGACCTATTAACACTGAAGGGGTTCTGGCCTGTGGGCAGCCCCTCGCATAGTTTGGTTGTAAAAAGGGAGAGTTGGTCTCTTGAGCAGAGTTCAGAGGAGCCGACTCTTCTTCAAGTGAGATAACAAGAGCAAAGTGCAAAGCCAAGCACATGACCTTTAAAAAGTTTAGAAATAGAGTTCCATTTCTGCACTTTTCTCATCTGTTTAAAAATCAGTTCCTAAGGGACTGTCATTTATGTGCATGCAGCTTTTGACAAAACTGATGCAGTAGCTGACCATTGTTTTTTGTTTTTGAAGTAGGCTTTTGTCCCAGGTATATGCAGCAGTTATTGAGGCTGTTTTGGCTGGCATTGCATGTTACGCTAAAACTTCCAGTCTAACAAAGGTAATTTAAATACTACGTTTCTCTCTATAGTCCTTATTCTAATGTAAAACAACCTACGTCTGTTTAGTCTCTGGGTACCTTGTATTAGGTTGTTGGGAAAGTCATGACCTATTCTATGCAAAAATGCATCACGACTTTCCCCACCACCCAGTAGTGCTCACTTTTGTTAGGCTTCTTTGGCCCCAGATAAAGAGATGCCTTCAGAGCACTGAGCTTCTGCTGCCTGTGGCCATGTTGCTGTTGTCTTATGGATGAAACTAAACAGTACTTCTTTGCAGACGTGTGGTTGTGTTAAGGAGAATTCACTCTGTAACATTTGTTTTAATAGTTTATGCAGAAGGCTTTAAAGGTAAGAAAACTGTATCCTGTGAATTTTAATAGTTAGCTAAGTTTGTTTTGAGCTACATAGTTCGATTTCCTATAACTCAGTGTTTAAAAGAAACAACTAAAGGTGGGAAAATCTGACTTGCCTTCCCTAGACAAGCACATGGGTTCTTGTTCTCTTGACCCTTCTCTTCCTTGCTGTTTTGCGGTCAACCTGCCCTGCCGAGTTGGATTCCTCCATCTGAGCCAGTAAGGAGAGGGGGAGTTGGCTTGGTATCTCCCAGTGCCAGGAAGATCTTTCCTGAAGGAAGCCATTGACACTGGAAAGGCTGTGTGTGTAGATCTCAGAGGCCGCAGTAGCTATAGTCACCAGCTCCTCGCCAGCTCCTGTCCTCACCGATGTGGTTCCCTGGTACTGACCAGGACTGCTCAGTGCTTTAGCTGCTGCTCTGCAGAAGGCTGACACAGAGGTGGTGAGATGTCCCTCAACAGCAGTTCTCACACCTTTGCTTTTTTTTTTTTTAATTGAACATTTGTAACTCTAGCTATTTGAATATTCTTAGCATCTGGCAAAAAACTCTATGGCAGTGGTTCCTCCCCCTGAGCCAGGTTATAGGGGAGGAAAGAAAACACTTTCCAGCCTCACATTCCTCTGGCATTGTCCCAGCTGGAAACATGTCCTGCAGTTCAGGTTCAGGGCCACCTGCCTGAATGCAGTTTCTCCCTGTGAACTCAGCCAGCAGGCACCTGTTCCCTTAGCAGGATGCTTTCACTTGAATCTATTGATGTAAACAAAGTAGTCACGTAGAGGGGAAGGGTGTTCCCCTGACCAAACTTAGAAGGGCCTTTTCTACCAGTGATTGTGTACTTTTTTCCTGCTGTGAAACTAATTGTTTCTATTTTGTTATTGACTTTACAGGCCAAGGAGTTAGCAGAGCAGACTCTGGCCTCTGGGTTAGATTCTTTTGAGTCAAATCAGTTTAAGACAGCCATATGGTAAGCAATAACTGATATTTCTTATAAGGAATATTTTTATGTTTGTTTTTATAAAGACTCTTGATCCTTGTAATTTATATATCATTCCCTCTTTGAGAAATGTTCGGGTAGAATAATGGGATATATAAGGGAGAATCATTTATGATTAAGTCTTTATTTGAGAAGCCAAGGAGCCAAAGATGGAGGAACTGGGTGAGGAAGTCACGCCCTTGTCCTGACACTAAAGTGTGAGGCAGATTAATACCAGCACCACAGGAGAGATGCAGACCGTTTCCAGGTTAGAAGAAAGTTGAGCATCTAAGTGGTGAGGCTTGTGAGCGGAAGGGGCCCTTGATACTTGAAAAGGTCCACCGCTTACAAGAGATTTGCCCTGGGCTTCATCTGCCACTCAGGTGTTGGAAACCCCGAGCCTGGTTGTGGCGTGGGGTCTGGGAATCCGGCTTTCTGGCACTCTTCCCATCCTGTCCCGCAGTCACAGTGGATCTCTGCACAGACTCAGCACACAGCTAAATCTTCATGGACCACTGCCTGGCCCACTGCCCCACATGAGGACTGTTTCTTGCACTCCTGTGACATACAAAAGATGTCAGTCCTGGGAGTTTATTTAACAGTACCTCTGGGTGGACTGGCCCCATGGCACTGTGGTTAAGCACTGTGGAGAACTGTAGTTCAAGCCCTAGCCTCTGGCTTTATGAACACACTAGGCACCTGTGTGTGCATGTGTCCAAGATCCTGATGGGACGGTAAAGTGGAGGAGGAGGGATTGTGGCGTGACCAGGACCCACTAGAAGTTGGGGGGTGCTCTCTCTCTGGCATGCCCATACATTCTCTGGCATTTAATTTTTAAAAAAGAAAAAAAAAAAAAAAAAAGGAATCCCTTTGGGATGTCCTTGGTGCCTTAGCTCCACGACCCACATTCTGTTACATCTGCAGCACTGAGTAGGAAGAGGGACTTGTGAAAGATAAGTCAGTCAACTGTGTAACAAAAAGAATTCTTTTGCCTCAGCTCTAGGAGTAGAGGAAGGAGCCAGAACTCTGTGATGTGAGACTTTAGGCTTGTTTATGTCTCCTTTCCCCTGGGTCTTCTGGATCCTATTGCTCTGGCCACAGAAGGGGAGGGACAGAGGAAGCTTGTTCCCCTAAGGCCTTTGCCGCCTTACACTGTCTCTTCCTGGCAAACAATGTATGAAAGTGTCACTCTCCAGCTGTGTGACCTTGGCCCAGATAGGGAACTCTGCATCTGTTTCCTCATCTGCCCACCTTTAGAGTGATTCGCATGTGCATGACAGGAACCTTAGCAGCGGGGTCTCCTCTGTTACTCTCAACGTGGCCAGCAGAGTCTCTACCTGCAGGGGCTAGTCCTCCACTGAGAATCCCACCCACATCTCACTTCACTCAGGACCCTTAAACCGCATTCCGGTAGCTGATCTGCTGCTCCCAAGAGAGGGGGAGTAGAGCCATGAACACATACAGCAAGTAGGTGTGTGCCTAAAGCAAGGAATTAAACTTACATGATTTAGAAACTTTCTTTTACAAATAAAATAAGCCAAAAGGGTTTTCCGGATGTTCCTCAGCTCTGGAGACCTGGCCCTGCCCATGCTTCATAGCAGTTGACTGTGAGTAGCAGAGACATGGGCTCAGAGCAAGGATGGTGAAGAGAAGAAGGATCAGGGCAGCGTTAGTGGCTGTGGGGCAGGTGGCCAAGGCCAGTAGAGGGTTGTTCCTCCCACGTTGTAGTGGGCCCCAGTCCTGTCACGTCATTCACTCCTGTTCTGGTCCAAGAGTCAAGATATCCCTGAGAACCTGTGCAGAGGCAAGGCCAGGACTGGAACCAGACACTGGCCCCCTGCTTACCAGTGGTGCGAGACTCTGGGAAAGGCATCTAGATAGTGAAGGTAAGTAAACCTGTAAAGCAGGGGTGACTCACACCTCGCTGGAGGTCTTGAGAGCCAGAACAGGTTCGCTACAAGAGCAAGTGTCTGGAGAGTTTTAAAATGACTACACTTGACCACCTGGTAGTCAGCAAGAGCAGGCTTAGGGGAACCAGCAGTTAGTGTAATGGCTATGTCGCTGGACTCCCACATAGTCAACCGTGGTTCGTGTCCCGGACCCAGTGGCTTAAAACTCACGCCGGGCACGTGTGCGTGCGTGCCCACGATCCCGAGAGGAGAATGGAGGAGAAGGGATTGTGGTGTGAACATCCCCCCTGGGGGGTGATTTCTCGCTTTCTGTCTCTATGCCTCTCTCTGTCTATCTGGCAAGCGCACGCGCCCTATACGGAAAATCTCTCAAAAAAAAAAAAAAAAAAGAGCAGGCTGATTCCTGTTTTGTTTCTGGTTGACAGCTCCAAGATGAGTTTTCATATCCATGCTGTGAATAATCAGGGACGGTAAGTATACAGTTGTGCATGCTCACACGGGACAGGTTTTAAGAGCACACAGGGAGGAGAGGCCCCCTTGTGGCCAAAGACACAGATAGGCCTATCACAGTTCCAGACGTGGTCATGGCATCACTTCACGGTTGAGGTCGAGGCTGGCTGTGTTGAGCCCCATTTCCCTGCATGCTTCCCCTGAGAAGCTGAAAGGCTAGGTTAGGGTAGGTGTAAGTCACCCCAGTGGTCAATAGACTGGTTCTATGTACATGCTGCTCAGTGTTTTGGGAGTCTTCAGGAATGGGATGTGAGTTGTCACTGCCAAACTGAAAAAAGAGAACATTGTAAATTTTGGTACTGTTAAGAACATACCTCCCATCTCTTTTCTCTTCTAGAATTGTGCCTCTGGACAGTGATGATAGCTTATTCTTTGTGAAGACGGTAAGCAGAGTTATTTGTGTCAACTGACTGAGGATGGCCATTACTTGGGCAGCCCACCACTTACCCAAAGAAATTGGGTTGTTCTCAAGACTTCCCCAGCTGTGGTGGTGGTGACTTTCTGCTTTCTGAGGGTACCCAGGCATCTGTGCCCAACCCAGCCACACTCCATGCCTAGACTTCCCCAGGGCTTAGCATCTTCACTAGGGTGTACAGGGTACTACTTCTGAAGTTACCCTTCAAGTAGCTGAGCTAGCTGTGACCTCATGTGGAAATGTGAGCTGAGGACAAGCCTGTCTCAACCAACAGTGTCTTCTCTGTGTCCAAGGCCTGCATTGTTGCCCTGAGCAGAGACCTGGGACAAGGAATTAATAAGTGAAGAACTACCAACAGGGCCCTGGGTCTCCAGCAAAGTGGGGTAGTCAGAGCAGAGCTTTCCCATCCATGCCCTGAGGCTGTGCTGAGATATTGGCCCCTGAGATGGGGCGGCATGGCTGGGGGGAGCCAGAGTGTCTCAGCCAAGAGCCGAGTCTTCAGTTTACCCTCGTGTGTTCTCATGTGTAGGAGGTTGCCAAGTATACATGAGCGGGTGGTAGGTACCCTGCCGAAGTTCTAGGTGCAGCATGTGTGGGCACAAGTTATACTTTGAGTCTGTCCTGTGACCACTGCCTCGGCCTTAATTCTAGTGAGCCTGGGTCACAGGGAATGGAGCAGGCAGCCATGGATGACCGAGTACAAATGTATCCCCATCCCCGTCATCAGAGGACAGACAATGGTCAGTAGTGCTGTCTGGTCTACAGAGAATAGTACAAGGGAATTGTTTAAGGTTGTGAGTGAGTTATATTTTTATAACAAACCCATCAGTGTTTTGTGGCAAAGTTCTTTTAGAACTAATTTAGACTTCTTAAAAATTACTCTCTGATTTACATGTAATTGTTAAAGTCTTTGTGGGGCATGTATGGTTTTTCAAAGCATGTATACAGTATGGTAGTGAAATCAAGGATATTAACATATTCTTCATCTTCAGCGAATAACATTACATTATGTTGTAATGTAATATTCATTCTATGAGTTTCTTTTTCTTTTCTTTCTTTTTCTTTTCTGAGAGATACGTGCATGATTGGCATGCCCTGTTTTACTCTGTTGAGGTGCACTAGTCCATAATCTCTGTCTTGTTTCATGCGTTCTGTGTCTGGTCATCATTTTTTCCTGAGCCCTTCCCCTTTCCCTCTCTCTGCCCCCAACTCCTGTGTAGGCTCTGGTATTTACCATTGCCCCCTCTACTTTTATGCCATCAGGTCTTCTGATTTCTGCGGTAGTGTGGCATTGGGTATATGCTAAGCAAGGACATCCAGTAATTATCATTTAGACTTTTGTTACATCATTAAGACATCAGGAAAGGCTTTCTGATGTAGAGGCAATGATACATCTCCTTACTCGACTTTAAATCCGACTTCTCCATGGGCTCTTGTGCAGTGCTTTGGAAAGTATTTCGCATGGCAGTCAGCGATTAGGAATCCGGTAGATTCATGCTGTTGTGTTGAGGATGCACTCAGCAGCGAATGAAATAGGAACAGATAGGCAGGGGATTGATGCTTCGTCAAAATTCTGACCCTCCCAGGCAAAGATGAAGTTCTGCCTCCTTAAAGTCTTCCCTATTGTTTTGTTCCTGCATGTACCGTATTCCTGTAGTACTTGCAGTCTGGTACTAGGGCTTTCTCACTAGCATTTCAGGAGTTCTCACTGAGTTGCTCCAGTTTTGTTCCAGATTACTGAAGCCATTATATTTTATTTATCTTGTCCATCAAAGCTTGAATAACTTCCTTTTAATGCTCTTGGTACTGAAATGAGCATGTTCAGATATTGACATGTATTCAAAAAATACCCATGAAGATACATATACCAAGTGGCCGCTTTCTAGACGCTCTTAGAACTCGAGCCAAAAACCAGTCCAAACTAAAGAAGGAGCTGGTGAGAGTGTGGCCGTGTGGAGATTGAAGAGTGGGAATGGAGAGGAACTGAGAGGAAGCAGCTCCGACTCTCATTGGCTGTGAACGGGTCACAATTAAGAATGAAGTCTGCTGTGTTGCCTCTTAGGATAAGCAGTTTGAGGGAATTGAGAGAAACATAAAGTACTCTCCTTCCAGCCCAGTGTGTGTCTGAGGAAGCAGTTCAGGGAAGCCTGGGTTATTCTAGTTATCCCCTAGGTCAGAGATGTATTTCAGGGTAACTCCATTTTCCCTTAGGAAGTCTCCAGTGTTCTTTTGCCCAGAGACGTAAAGTAATATTCTGTGGTCGGTTCTTAGGGGACACACCCTGGAGGTTTTGGATTTATAGCTGGTTTAACTCTGGTTTCTCATTTGATGCAGGCTTGTATGACTGTCTACGATATTCCTGACTTGCTGGGAGGAAAAGGGTGCTTAGGATCTGTGGTCTTCTCAGAATCATTTTTGACATCACAGATCTTAGTTAAAGAAAAGGGTATGTGTCTATGGTCTTTGGAAAGCAAACCCTGACCTTTTTTTTTGGGGGGAGGGGGCGGATAGTGGGAGGCAAAAGCTTTAGGCCATAAACTAAGGCAAGATATGGGAAAATATTAGATAATCAAAGGGTATCTAGCCTAACTTATGAAGAACTCATAAATTAATTTTTAAAAAAATAAGCTACCCAATGATAAAATGGGCAAAAAAATATGAACAGGTAGTTCAAAGGAGTGGAAACAAAGGAGGGGGAATAGACACACACAGACGCACACACGCATATATATACATACACACATAAGCACACATAAAGATATGCTGCCTCAAGGCCAACAAGTGGCTTGGTAGTTAAGGCACTGGACTCCCACATAACTTGTAATCACTCAAGTTACATGTGTGTGCCCACCCAAAATCCTAGAAGGAGAGTGGAGGAAAAGGGATTGCAGCATGGCCATCCCCGCTAGAGGGTCATTTCTCACTTTCCTTCTCACTGTCTTTCTCTGTCTCTCTCCAGTAAGTAAATGCACCCTATGGAAAAAAACCTAAAAAAGAAAAAGTTATATAGCCTCACTGGTAGTCAAGACAAAGCTAAACAATCACTAGATACCATTTTTTTAAAGGTTTTTGCTACAGGGCACATGCACTCACCAGAAAGACAGAGAAACAGAAAGTGAGAAATCACCCCCCGGAGGGGATGGCCACAGTACAATCCCTTCTCCATTCTCCTCTTGGGATCTTGGGCACATAGGCACACGTACCTAGTGTGAGTTTAAGCCACCGAGTCCAGGACTCAAACTGCAGTCAACTACATGGGAGTCCAGTGACATAGCCATTATACCAACTGCTGGTCCCATAGATAGCATTTTTCTTTCCCCATTATGTTATAAAACATTTAAAGATCGATACTATCCAGTACTGCCTGATAATGTTCTGTTTGAGCTTTAATATGTATACCTGTAGTTCCTATACTAACTTAATAAAAAGTATTTTCCAGGACTCTTCATTTAAACATGTTTATGTTTTTTCTGAAAAGTACTAAACATCACATGGGAAACCTTCCTCCATCCCTTCATTAGTCTCCCTGTCCCCAGATGAGGAAGTTTTCTTTTTCTGAGGTCTTTTTACCAATCAGAGGAGGCTGTGCTCCTGAGAAGGGGAAGGGCATTTGCTGTGTGGGGCCTTCAAGGTGTGCTGAGATGGTGGGGAGTAACTGGCATGTCTGTGGTCTTCCTGCAGATGGCACTGTTACTACAGAAACCAGCTTCATAGTGCTGACAGCCGCCATACCCAGATTCTGCTCCTGGCTGGTTAGTGTCATGCATCAGGTAGAAGTGAATGTAAACGTGGAGAAATCGGGGAGAACGTTTGAGGAAGAGCCTCTCCATTGGGTGTCTGGTGGGATGTTAGACCCTGAACTCTTTGTTGTTCAGGGATGGAAATTTTTACCGCAGCTTTTCTCTTTATACAAATGATTCTAGCTCCTTTAACTCTCATAATCTTAGAAAAGTTTCCAAAGAATAGAAGTACATTTTCTAGGAACCTATTCAGTTATGTCTGGGAACATGTTATATTGTGAAAGGAAGAAATTAACACTTTCATTTACAGATGAGGAGACAGAGGTTTAGAAGTTGAACAACCTGGGGGCTGGCAAGTGGCAAGATGATTAAGGGCACTGTATTCCCACATGGCCGACTGTGGTTCGAGTCTTGGACCTGGTGGCTTACTTTCTTACTTTCTCTCTGTGTCCCTCTCTGGTCAAACTAAAATAAATTAATCAATAGATAAATGGATAAAGTTAAATAAAATAATTCTTAAAAAAAAAAAAAAAAAACCAGTTGAACAGCCTGGCCAAGAGGGTACAGATAATGAAAAGTGGGTCGTGCAGCCCTTCTCAGGTTAGAATGACCACTGCTGAGTTATCACAGCAAAGTCTCTCAACTGTGAAAAGCCCCATCTTCCTGAGTAGGACTTGGTGCCTTGGGACGTAGAAAGTTTGACTTGAGTCTGGTAGCAGTTGAGAACCTATTTTGGGATCTGTGTAGAGTCTTTATAGTTCAGATACGAATAGGAAAGGACAGAGGTATCCTGTGACATGAACATGCTAAATGAGAACACCCATCTTGGAAATAGTGTATGTTCTCTTTCTTTCATCCCTTAAAACAGCCGGTTTTGTCTGAAGTGAGATGTAAGTGGAGACTAACATGTGCCGCCACGTGTCAGAGGCTCATTAGGTGGGCCTCAGGTCCCTGGGAGAGAGCCCACCAGGACCTGGGGCTCTGAGCCCTAGTGACCAGCAGCCAACTCTTCCAGCCTTGTCAGGGCCTGAGAGCACTGGACATGGAGGGATTGCCCAGCGGGTCGCCTGGAAATATTGGGATACAAATATTGAACCTTGAAGCAGTAAACTGAACATCTGCATTCCTTTTGGACACAGGTAGAAGATAATGAAGTAAAATTATCTGAGAAAACTCAGCAAGTGATGAGGGTAAGTAGGCTTCTTAATCACCATGTTAACATTATATAAACATATAAACAGTGTATGAAGACTGTTTAAAACATTTCATCTTACTGCTAATCTAAAGGATCTGAACTTAGTCTTCATTTCCTATTTGCATTCCTCTCCTTCCCAGAAGAGCTCTAGAAATCATCATTTATGAGGGATGCAATTAGAGGGATTCTTTCTGCCATTTAGGCCTTTTAGTGTTTTTTTTTTTTTTTAATCTCCCAGTTCTATTAAAAGTAGATCCCAAATTGGCCTAGACATGTAGAGCCGAGAGGTCGAGGCTTCAGGCCAAGGAGCTGCCTCCATCTGCACAGAGGAAATAAACGCACTGGAACGTGAGCAAGCGCTGGAGGCTTTGGTGTCCAGACTCGGAGGGGACCTTAACATTCTTTTTCTCAGCCGAAATCAAGGATGTCAACAACATGCCAAAGAGCCAGGCAGTGCCAAAGGCCATGGAATCAGTTAGGCACATTTGAGTCTGAGTCAGCTTTTGTAGACAAAATTGAGCAGGACTTATGGTTCTGTGAGTTTTTCTGCCATAAATCACTCGTTCTTTTTTGTTTTTGTTGTTTTAAAAGGGGGACGAATGTTTCCTGGGTACTTTTCTGACAGGAGGAGAAGGAGCTTATCTTTATACCAGCAGTCTACAGTCCTGGCCTGAAGAGGGTAAGCAATTAGGACCTTTCTGTTCTTGGCTCTGTCTGGGTCCCTCATTTGCAGGTATCAGCATGGGTGTTGTGATTAATAATACATGTGATATTTGAAAAGACTTGTTGGTGTAGAAGTGTTTTCTTACAGCTTTGATCCACCCACTTCGTAGATGAGGAAATCTGTGCTGGCACGGGCTGGCCCCAGCATAGCACCTGGTCCTCTTGCTGCCTGAAGAGGCTATCCGAATGGGCTAAAGCAGCAGCATTCTCAGAACTAGAATCCGTGGACCCAAACAAAGCTAGAATTAGTTTTCTACTACCGTGTAACAAATCACAAATCTTGTTGCTTAAAAACAATACCCACTTACTACTATCTCACAGTTCCATGGCTCAGAAGTCCAGGAAAGTCTGGCAGGATTCAAGTCCCACAAGCCCAAAGTCCAGGCAGCAGCCGGGCTGGGCTCTTATCTAAAGGCTCTACAGAAACCTCTGTTCCCCCGTTCATCCAGACTGTTGGTTCGTCCATTCCTTCTCATAGGATTGAGGTCCCTATTATGTTGCTGGCTGTCAGCCAAGGACTGCTCTCAGCTCCTCCTGCCAGAGGTCCTTGCCCTGTGACCCTCTCCATCTCAGCAACAAAAAAAATCTTTCTTATTCTTTGAATCTCTCTGAATTCGTCTTCTGCTATCAGAATCTTACATTTCTGCCTACTACAGTCCACTCTTTGGCCCCCATGATTCATGTCACTCCCTAATGTAAAATACAGTCACTGCCCTCCCAGGGTCTGATCCCTTGGGGACCAGCAGATGGTGTAGTGGTTAAGCCATTGGATTCCCACATTGCCAGCTGCCATTTAAGTCCCAAAGGTCTTGTCCCATTTTGGCAGCTGTTTAAAGTTGTAAATCTCGTGGGCTCAAATATCAAAAATCTCATCAAGATCATCTAAATCAGGGTGGGACTGGCTAGGAAAAGAGTTACAGACTTCAGGTTGAAAAATGGGAGAAATAGAAGGAAAAAGAGAGTCATTAGACCGAGTCAGCCTTGAAATCCAGCTGGGCACACTCCGGTTCCTTGCTTAGGATTGAGGCCTGGGAATTACCTTCCTTGGCTCTCAGTTCTACCGGCTGGGTTCTTGGTTTTGCCTCTGGCTTCTTGGTTCAGCCCTCTGAGTCACTTTCTTCTTTTCATGAAAGGCAGTAGTTTCTTGATCTGGTTTCAGGGCCTGGGACTAATTCTCTGTGTCCCTCAACTCTGCCCCCTGGCCTCTTGGTTTTGTTTTGGGCCCTTGACTGTGCCCTCTGGGCTTATGGCTATCCCTTTGGCACCCTTCCTTTTTCAGTGAAAGGTAGTTCCTGTTTATAGCTGAGTAGTTTTTTGTTTTTTAATTTTATTTTATTTTTTCATTCATTTTTTTTTTTTAATTAGAGAGAGAGAGAGAGAGAGAGAAGGTGAGAAAGCAAGCCACCAGGTCCGGGACTCGAACCTTAGTCAGCCATGTGGGAGTGTCCAGCACCTTTAACCACCATGCCACCTGCTGGTCCCAGTAGCTAAGTAGTTTTATTAGCCAATAGAACTTGGGGGATTCGACAGGCCACTTTCATTTTATACATTCTCTGTCCCTTCAGACCAAGCTGACAGTGTTTCGGCCTACATAAAATTTTCAAGAACCCTCTTGGTCTTTCATGAACTTCACAAGCATTCACTGTGTTCCTTTTTGGCTTCCTCAAAATAACATTTTCTTATGGGTCCTATTCTTTCCCAGTTGAATATAGCCTTTCTGTGGAAGAGAATTCTGACTTCACAAATTCCTCAACCTCTACTATGTAAATCCTTTTTCTGGATGATTTGTTCTTCTTGTTGAAAATATTCTGTCCTGTGGCAAATTCCTCTCCCAGTTCTCAGATCACTGGTTCCAGCTTCTGTTCCTCCATTCACTTAGGAGACAAAGCACGAGGAGTACTGGTTTTCAGTCCACAAAATGCTGGGATGATAATATAATAGCATTTGCTATTATGCTTGTTTTCAAAACCCAAAATGACAGCATATTTAGTTATAGATCTAACTGGCTTTACTTTGGTATTCATGCATTGGGGCAGCTCTATTCTATAAAGTAGGCTCAGAGCTCCCACTGGGTAATGGCAGAATGGGACAAGGCAAGAAAAGGAGACAAAACAATAGATAAAAACACTGGTTAACATCAGTTAACTTCCAGTTACTACTTTACTTTCATAAAGGTTGAAGCAGAGAGGGACTTCTTTATTACACCAACTCAGTAGACTGTAGATGGAATCTTCTGTTTCAGAAAAACTGGTCCGTCTGGGGATCTGTGTGCTTCCTTAAGGTTTCAGCTTGATTATGTGGCATTTAGCACTAATGATTCCATTTTGGTTTGGTCTGGCCTATTGGGGCCTAGTACAGAAGCTTAATCCAAAACAATGACTTTTCATAATTTGTTTAACACTGTATTCTAGGCCCTGCATGTTTGCCTCAAGATCTTGTGAAGAAGTTGAGAGTTAGGCACATTTGCTGAAGGCATGAGAGTATGTGACAGTGCTACCAGCCTAGAGGCAAGATTGCTCAGTGTTTTGAAAGCAGATTGTAGACACAACACAGGGGTGGTTGTGCTATGTCATTCTTGAGCCAATTATAATGTTTAGTAAGGATATTTGCCAAAGTCAGTTTGCACCTTCTTAGCAGAGTCTTGTTAGAAAAATAATCTTGTATTGTATTGAATTATCCAGCAAGATTCAGTGTATCCTAAGGTCTCCACAAGAATAAATGGCATAGCCAAGGATTTCTGGGACCTTGTGAGTCGCACTGTTTCAAGAGCTTAGATTTCAAACTTTCTGAAAAAAAGTTCCTCAAAGAAACCTAGTTTGAATTTGGAAGTGATTTTTTTTTTTTTGAGAGGTTTTTTCGCTATAGGGTGTGTCCGCTCGCCAGACAGACAGAGAGAGACAGAGAAACAGAAAGCGAGAAATCACCCCCCAGGGGGGATGGTCACGCCGCAATCCCTTCTCCTCCATTCTCCTCTCGAGATCTTGGGCACGCACGCACACGCGCCCGGCGTGAGTTCTAAGCCACCGGGTCCAGGACTCGAACCATAGTCGACTACGTGGGAGTCCAGCAACATAGCCATTAAAATTCCATAGAAGTTTGGAATTTAAATAGGAATCTCAGGACCAGCAGTTAGTGTAATGGCTATGTCGCCATCCCCCCTGGGGGGTGATTTCTCGCTTTCTGTCTCTCTGTCTCTCTCTTTCTGGCGAGTGCATGCGCCCTATAGCGAAAACCTCTCCAAAAAATAAATAAATAAAATAAAATAAACAGGTATCTCTTGGCTGTGTGTTAAACAACATGTATTACCACTCCAGAGTTCAGGTCAGAGGCTAATCTACAATAGGTTTTGTGGGGCTTGAAGTTTATACTCTTTGGGGGGGGGGTGCTCTTAAAAGAAAATAAGGCAAATTGTTAGGGCCTTGGAAGGGAGCTTGGGTAGTGATGGGTTCTGAAACTCAAATTTCCTTAGTGTCTTGTCAACTTTGCCTCCAATTAAGATTTCGATGAGTATGAAATGTATCTGTCTCCATCCCCTGGAGGTATTTATCTTGAGCTCCTCTGCATGCATTGACATGATGGGTCTCCTCATCCTGAGTCCCACTTTCTGAGAAGGTGCCGGAGGTGGTAGTGCCAGTTAATGACAGACTGTGGAGGGGAGCCCCGGGCTGGAAGATCTGATTTTCACCTACTTCGGAATGAGAAGAAGAGCCTTTCTTTTACCTTCAGTCAGCCTTGGAAGCTCAACATTTCCTAGGAATTGTTTTCATTTCATCTAAGTTTTTCACATCTTTTGGCATAAAGAGAAAACTTTTCAGATCTCTGTACTTTTAAGTGTTGCTCCACTCATGGTCTTCTTTGAGCAGAATCTGTTGCTTCCCTATGTGCATTCCTTTTGTTTTTAAAAAATAATTATTTATTTAATTTTATTTATTATTAATTTTTTAAGAGATTTTTACTTTAGAGCACTCATCAGAGAGAGAAACAGAAAGTGAGAAATCACCTCCTGGGTGGGCGGGTGGGCCACAGTCTGACAGTTGAGAATACAGAGCAGAAACCAGAAGTGAATTAGGATCTCAGCGATCAGGGCACTGGCACAGGGCCACCCCATGAATCACTTCATTTATCTTGTGTGTGATCTGAGAGTAATGACAGAGTTACTGCTCACAGAGTCAGGCTGCAGGGTGGGTGCGACCCCAGGACAGAACACAGTACAGTACTAAAATCAGATCCTGTGTACTGAGTCTCTGCCCTATGCCATGCCTTAAGGAGTGCTTCCTGGCATTGTCTTGTAAATTTCTTTTTATTTATTTTGAGAGATTTTTGCTATAGGGCGTGTGTGCTCACAGGAGAGACAGAGACAAAAAGCAAGAAATGATTACCCTCCCCCCCCCCCAGGGGATGGCCATGCTGCAATCCCTTCTCCTCCATTTTCCTCTTGGGATTTTGGGCACGCATGCACTTGGGCATGCATGCACATGTGCCCGGTGTGAGTTTTAAGCTGCCAGGTCCAGGACTTAAACCATGGTCAACTATGTGTGAGTCCATTGACTTAACCATTACACCATCTGCTGGTCCCATAAATTTCTATCTTCTACTTTTCTGTTTTGTTTTGGGGTTTTAGAGTCTAGAGGGAGAGAAAGTGCTGGAGTTGATCTCCCTTATCT